GCACGTTGATGGTGTACAGATCTCTTGAAAGAAACTTGGACATGTCACAACCTTTTTACAGAGTTAAATTGAAGATTGAATTAAACTACTTTATTATTGATGAATATAAGTAAAATTAAAATCAAAGCATAGTTAATAAATCAAATTTTAACATTACATAAGTTTAATTCCTTAATTTCAAAAGCATATATTTAAATAAATTCTCAATCTTCATTTCTCTGTATCATGTGACACTTGTTCACTCCATATTGCCCAGTTTAGATATTTTTCCACCCCCTATTTGAGCTTCTGAGTTTTAATACAAATTACAACCTTACAATATAGATATTACTAAGACATAATCTAATTTTATAGTCACCTGGAGGTACAGCAGTAAGTCTACAAATTTACAATGCAAAATCTGGGGTTTGATTTCCCGCAGTGGACACAGCAGATAGCCCAATGTGGCTTTGCTCTGAAAAAAGAACACTAATTTTATAGCCTCCAATCATCTTGATTTACAGAGATGTAAACCAGAAAATCAAACCCACATGCCATGCCCTTTTGCCATGTACTATCTTTCAAAAAATGTCAGTAATTTTCTCTGAAATTTGTTGATATATTTCTTATAACCAATAGAAAGAGAGTATTTTAATTTACTGAATTACATTGTAGCCTACCTCATTCTGGTGACAGTTTTTGAATTATTCAGCCTACAGATTCAAAGTTGCTGTTGCTGAGTTCACCTTGTTAAGTAAGAAAATATTTTACCACATTTGTAGCTTAGTTAGAAAGCCAATTAAATTATAATAGTTACAGGACATTCTAGTCTTTGTGAGTGATATAATTTTGTGTTCCTAATTGAATATTTTGAATAAATAACAATTCAATAAAATATAACAATAACCCTACCAAAAATTAGATTTAAATTTTATCGAGACTTTGACTGCAAAAACAAGTCCAAGACCCAACGTAAGTACCGAATTTCTTGTTTTCTCGTTTATCTTTATTTCATCATTTAAAAGTAACTAAAATGTTAAAAATAGAAATTTATGAGGTTAGGTAAGAAAACATGAATATAAAATTCTCAGTGAGTTATGTATGTGAGCTGCATTTGCATTACATAATTCAATATTTTGCTTTACCATATTTTGAGCTATGCTCTCTCCAAGTACACATGCTTAGTAGTCAGACATTGTTTAAAGAGCAATAAAATTTAATAAAATGGATGTAAACTGCTACAAATTGGAGAATATTTGGAATAAATAATTGTAATTTTCTGTTAAAATCTGCAGTCATTCTAGGAATAAAAAAGAGGTAATTTAGATTTATTTCATATTTTTATGGTGGTTACAAGGTCAGTCAAATGGACTGAGCTCATATAGCATTAGGGTTGAGAAAATAACAGATAAAATATAAAGTTTTTCTGAAAAAAAACGTTATATTTAGTCAGGAGATTTTAGAGATTATGCAAATGAAATTTTACAATTTTCAGATGAAGAAAAGTATTTTTAATCTCAACATGAAAATCACTTTGCACTTGGAGCAGTCAACACATTGAGTGAGTTTGACTCCATAGATTAACAGAGAAATATTTAGTAAAAATACTAAATTGAAAAACCTGATTTTCTGTGTAAAAAAGAATTCTAATTTTTACTGATAACTTGCCAAATTTTGTGAAGCTACACTTACCATATTAAAAGTTATAGTATGTATAGTTTTATGGTTAAATGGTGTTTGCAAGGTTGGTCAAAATGACCCAGCTCATATAGAGAAGATTAATCAAGTTACTGATGATGAACTGAGAATATTTTAATTTGGACAACTTATTATAAACTCAGAAACAGTTCACTTATTAAGCACTTAGGACAATTTTTTGTTAGTTTTGAACACACCTGCCTGTATTTCCAATATTCTTACTTTTATTTAATTGAATAGCATTTAAGCTTATGTCTTCAAAATGAACTTTAATTAGAATAAGAGTGAGAGAAATATTCATTATAAATAATAATATCATTTCTGTTTGGACTATTTCTTCTTGTCATATGCATTGAAATGATTTTTTCTTCTTTTTTCCAACAATGCAGATATTTTTTTGTCAACTAATGTAGTATAATACTCAATCTTGAACTTTTTTCAGAGTATCCAGTCTAGGGTATTTCATAATTACATAATCCTGAGAAAATATTTTTATTTGGTTATCTGCATCTGATCATTTGATAGAGAATTAGGTACAGATACATTAGAATTAAATTTTTTTGATCCTCTGATATTTTTGCAGTAATTGTGTTTATACTATGTGATAGTCTAGTCGATACAACTTTGTTTTTTATCTGTTATGTTACTGAAGCTTTGTTTTTGGCTATGTCATTGAACCAATAATAACATAATAATCCAAGTTGTTTGTATTGTGTTGTTTGTTTACATGGGCTTTTATTTTTATTACAAAAGAAATTCATGATTTCAGTAAAAGTCTGTATGTTTTCAATCTGAATATTGCATTTTGCATATGTTGTGGTCCGGAAAGAGATGTCTTCTTCAGCGCAGTGTTCCACATTAGTTTTTGTATGCATAATTAAGGAGCAATAAATCATCTGCTGTATGTTTAGATAAATATTGCAAACACTTCTCACTATTTCCTCTTCATTTGCTATAAGTTACTTGAAGCAATCCAAATAAGTACATATAAGTATGTGAATGAATGACAATCATTCTTCATTCTTTGTCATTTCTGACAATGTATGTAGTAGTTGCATTGATAACCATAGCTTGTTACTGATTTTGAAGGTACTAATAATGGGGGGGAAATATTTTTTGTCCAAAACTCTTATATAATAGTAACTTCTAACAGCAGTTTAAAAAAAAAATGATTTTTTTCAAATAAACATTGAAGGAATTTTACATTCTGTTATTGTAGTTGCAGAGTTTCCTGTAAAACATATGTAGAGGGTCTAGAAGCTAGTCTAGATTAACTGAGACTTTGAAACCTCAGATGAGAAGAGAATTTTTTTCAGAACCTTCTCATAGATGTTGTTTTAGCACTGTAGAAAAAATTGGGAGATGAAGTTACTAAATTAGCTTTGGCAGTCTAAAATAATAAAGATGTTCAAAACATTTGTCAATAATTATGAATGCAAGACAAATACTTTTTTGCTTAAGATTGTGCTGAAAACCTCAGTATTGAATCTATACAATGTAGGTAATAATTCAACACCTCAACATTTGAATTAAACAACTGTATTTTATTTATATAGCTTTTAAAATTGGTTTAGCCTTTTAATGATATTTAAAGGTTTAGAGTACAGTTTCTCCTTATCTTCTCTTTGTGTGTAACTTTTATAATGGTTATAACCATGGCTAATACTGAGATTATATAGCTGTAAAGATAATATGATTTACTTATTTTTAGTTTCATATTCCCTTACAAGTTTACATATTATCTTCATAATTCATTTTTTCTACAAGTCTCAAAGTAATAAGTTTTTCAGGAGGCTATACAGGATATGGGAGAGCTTCAAAGAAGTGTTGCCTTATGTCAGTACTGAAGTTATGAATATGGCAGTCACAAGTTTGTGTTTACAATAAGTATTTAGTACTTTTTAAGTGTTAAAAACAAATTACACATACAAGGAATCTAATGTTTTTCAAAATTTACAAACAAAATTAATTATACTTTAAGAATCTGCCTTTACATTATTCACAAATTAAATGAGAAATGAATGATTAATAAAAAAGCTTATAAAATCCATTATGTAGTGGATTGCCAAAGAGATGAAAATCTGTTGATTTTGATCCTTTTTTGTCAGTTTAAACTCTGTAAAAATTAAACTGGGGTTAATATCAAACAACTATGAAAATGATTTAAAAAGAAGGCACGATATATATATATATTTCTAAATAGCAAAATGAAATACAAAAACTGCTAGAAGGTTTTACAAAAAGGATGTTTCAAAAATTTAAAATGGAATATACAACCTACAGATGTCTGTACATCTCCAAAGCTCCCATGGTTCAAGTCTAATGAAATTGATAATGTAGTTTAAGATTAGTTATGTGTAATAAAGAGATTTGATATTCATTCAACTGAACAGTAAAGGCATCCAAAATCTTGGTAAGTTGGGTCTTCAATCATCATTTCCACTTAAGCAGAAAGATCTGCAAGTACAGTAAAATTAATCCTCCTCTAAAACCATTCATTTAAGCTATAAGGATTTTTCATTTGTATTGTGATTTCCACGAGTAATAATTAGGATAAAATTTATGTAAACTATAAATACCTTATAAGTTGGCTTGAATTTATTCTCACTATCTTCTCTCTGAATACTTCATATTTTACTGTTTCTGCCTTTAGCTGTAATTGGATTATGTATCCAAAATTTTCTTTTTCCTGTAGAGATGTATTCACACTGTTCAGGTAATTTGCAGAATCATGTTCATTTTAGCAATAAACAACCCTATACTTACACTAACATGTGAACATAGCATTACTAATTAGCACTGAAGAATACTAATAACATATCCATTATCAGACTACTTCTCTTTTTTTAAGAAAAAACTCACTTGCAATGTTCTTCCTTGATTAAAAGTATGTTCCCAACATGGTAAGTTGTTGCTTTACATATAGGTATTATGTGACTGGCAAGTATCTCTGTCCAGTAAAAACTTCACAAGCACACCTAGTTGGAAATGAATTACTCAAGGTATATCTGACTTATGCCAATAGTATAATATACAATAAAGAATATACTGGCTTGTCCTTTACACATTTTTTGTAATAAAAATGAAAATAAAATGTTAAGTTAGAAACGTAAAAGCATGTTATCATTAATAAGCCTATCTTTAATAGAGATTCTCAATTTATCAAGTGAAGTATGGTAATTAGTAGCTATATTTCACAAGTACTTTCATGCCAAATGTATTGCTAAAAACAAAAGTGTATATCTTAAACATTTTAATGTGTAATCTTTATTATTACTCCTTTTTTAACTTCCTAATTTTGGAAATTATTTCTTTCATGAAAGGTTATTGATGAAATCTATGGAGTGTTGAGATATATTCAAACAACCAAGTGTCCACCAAGAGCCCATGAAATTTTGCAGGAATTAAGAGACATTTCTTCCATGGCAATGGAACATTTTGATGAAAATATTGCTCCCATTCTTAAAATGAAGATTGGTGCATCTGGCTCAAATATATCTTCACAGAACTGTATAAGTCTTACTGGTAAGAGTTCTTAAATATAAAATACCTTTAGCTGTGTAGAGAATGTTGGGATGTGTACTTTGAACACATTAGCTTTTTAAAACATTTTTAGTTGTTTTTGTTAATGGGTACATAGTCTTCCATTTGGTTATGCCTCAGACCCTTGTATAATTTACTTGCCTGATTTGGTTCTCTGTGTCATTTATAATTGACTTATTCTCTTCATGAACTCGAGCAGCATCTTTTCTTTGAGTTGGTTGGATTGTTTATTTTCCTTAAACTTCAACTCATAATACATACAAATAACAACTAATATTTTGAGTTTAGGTAAGTTTCTCCAAAATATGTATTTATTTTGAAAGTTCAAATTCATATAGGTCTTACTTAGGTAAATTTCTAGATGGAAATGTTCAGATCACTCAAATATCTTGTCTAAACAGCTTGCACTTGTTCTGTACTGGGCAACTCCTTCTTTTTGTTTTTTATTTTACAGATTTGAGAGTATTTCTGTCCATTGTGGTTCTTCTTTTACGTTATTGACAATGTAGTGGGAGTTCCACTTTGCCAGTTGGCAGTAGCTGTTTTTATGTGTGTGTATGTTGAGCCCCAGAAACTTTGGCTTCAACTTGGAGAGAAGCCTTTGATCCCATCTTGTCTTGAACCTATGATCTTCTCAAAGAAAATATTTACTGATCAACATTTTGGAATTGGGTGTTGGTTATTATCTGTATAAACACTTTTATATATATAAAGCTACTATAAAGTGCCACTTAAATTTAGGCTTGGTAACTTTACCTATTTCTTTTGAGTTTTTGTTGAATGTAGAAATATTTATGTTGTCTCATCCTAACTACACTAGATTTCTACAAAGAAATAATCTCTCATTTCATAAGTTTACGAATACTTTTATAATGATTACATTATCAGTTGATTGGTGTGTTATATGGCCTACAGCATGATATGTTTGTATACATGTATTGTGTCATACAACATATACTAATCTTCTTTCCTTATAAGAGAACTGGCATATACTGGAAGTTAGAGCTCTTGACTCACGATCTGCAAGTTACGACATTGAAATTAAACACCCAACATGCTTACCCCATTCAGCTGTGGACACATAATGTGATGGTCATTCCAACTATTTGTTGATGAAGAGTAGCCCTAGACCTGGTGGTGGGTGTTACCTGGCACTTGTTTCCTCTGTAGTCAGGAGTTCAAAATTATGGACAGCAGCTAATAGCTTTGCCATAAACAAACAAGCATATCTTTACCTTTATCCCCACACATATAGTTATCTTAGTTATAAATATAATGCATCTCAAGGGAATCCCCAAATTTTCAAGTGGTTATATTACATGATGTGGAGACACACAACTTTGTCATGTGATTTCCATATATCTTTAGCAGAATAAGTTGCTTTTTTTCAAAGGAGTTTTGAGGTAACTCCTGGAGCTCTTCAAAGAGTTACTGCTTTTCTTCTGCAACCCCACTATTCGTTGGTAAAAGTGTACCCCTGGAGTTGGCAGTGGGTGGTGTTGACTAGCTGCCTTCCCTCTAGTCTTAGCACTGCTAAATTAGGGATGACTAGTGCAGACAGCTCTCATGTCACTTTGTGCAAATTTCAAGCTAAACCAAACTAAAAGATTGATGAATATGCTGTCACAAAACAAAGGATTTTACTGTTTTTTTTGTTTTGGACCTTTCTGTATGATTCTTTTGTATTTTACACTTTGTTCAGACCATCAGATTATTTGAGGATTCTTCTTGTGATGCCATATGGGCAACTTCAATCATGGTTCCTGTTTAGTTCTCAATTGTACTTGAGTAATGTGATCCTCTTCTTTTGTAAAAGTATTATTAGTACTAATCATGCACATAGTTTTTTTCAAGACAAATTTCCTTGTGCTTTATAGTTGACTGTCATCTAGTCATTTATCAGAAGGGTAAGATTTCTTCCTAATATTGTTTACTTGTAAGTATGTCACCGTTTCTAGCTTACTGGGTACTTTTTGTTACACCTTCTTTCTGGATTTTTTTTTTGGCATTTGATGTATCACATATCTTTGTGCCAAGAGAAGTATTTCCTTTCAAAGACATAGGTAGCTCAGAAAAGTAAATTATGTTTCTTCCATTTGTTTTTCTGTATCATTCTTTGAGTCATAATCCTTTGGACCAAGAGAGATTACTGTATCCTATCCAAGGCACTTTGTTGATACTTGGATAACACTAACTTTTTTTCACAGTGCTTGTTCACAAGTTTTACTTCAGTTAGATTATTCTAGAGTAGATTGGCTTTTTCTAGTATTGATAAGAGTGGGCTGAATTTTTCTTGCATTGTAAAGTAGATGATGGTGTAAGGCATTTTTCCTTGAAGAATATGCCAAACACAAACAATTGGTCTTCTCAAACAGTATTTCTCCTTCTATTTACATTACATTGCCATACCTGACTTAGAATCAGCTTGGAGGCTTGATGCTAAAGGTTTCTTCCTCTTCATCCTTTTTTTTGTTTGGTTTACTCAGGTGGTTGGTCATTGCTTTTATGGAAACTATAGAACTTATATCCTTTTTACAGGCTTATTTTGAGACCTGTGAATACATCCAACTTATATGAATACTTTTTTACATCTGTGTCTTTCATTATACTGTTGGACAAATATATGTAGATGGTTCTAGGTCCTTATTTGACATTTGTCTTAATATACCTTTCCAGACATTAAGTGTCAAACCACATCTTTTAGTTTTCTCAATTAATGTTTTTACAAGACATAAAAAATAAAATATTTTAATTTTACTTTGAAGTTCACAAACAACATAGCATTGATTCTTATATTTTGTTAATATTTGTAATAATTTGTTTTTATTTTGTCACAAATTATTCAATAGATTATCAGAACTTGGAGACACATTTTGTTTAATAAGAATAACCTATAAATAATCACAGTTGTTTTTATTGTGTTCAGAATGAGAATGCAATGCTTTTGCAGTCAGTAGTTATTGTATAGATTTGCTATAATGCTCCCCAGTGGCACAGCAGTAAGTCTTCAGACATAACACAACCAGGTTTCTATACCTGTGGTGGACACAGCCCAGACAGCTCATTGTATAGCTTTGTGCTTTATTACAAACAAACAAAACTTGCTATAATGTTTTGTAATATATGTATTTTGGTTCATTTCTAAAGGGCCACCAACACATTTTCCTTCAACATCTCGTCATTATGTTAAGAACATAGGAGTCAAACAAGAACTGGCTAAGATCAACATGACTGTCAAACAGCTATCTTCCACTAATGTTACACTGAGAAAAGAGCTCATAGATTATAAAGCAAAAGTAAGTAAATCAACTTGCTTATCTTATAAAAGCAAAAGATTTCAAGTAGTTTTTTTCTTTACATCATACCACAGAACTCAGTTTAAAGGCTACTTTGCTTAGATCATATTTTATCTTGATATGTATTCTATAAAAGGCCGTGTTTGCCTTGAATAATGGTAACTTCTTTTTTCTGTTTCACTCCTCAAACACTCTGAGATATGATGATATATTCTTCTGATGGAGAGAGCTCATTCAAATCTATTTCATTTTGTTTAGTTTAAATTCTTCATTGTGCTTTTTTGTGTTTCTATAAAATTTTTCTAAGGTAGATTTAGAAAAATTACATGCCGTTTCTAATTCTCCTTAATTTTGTAATTTCTGGGGAGCTATTAACCACGTGAAAATTTTACACTACATCTCATTTCAGTAACTAAATCAAACTAAGAGTGGGCTGATGGTGGTGGTGTTCCTCTTCAGTTTAATCTTATAAATCTAAATCTTCTCTTAGATTTGCTTTGTTTGTTTCTTAACTTTTGCTAATATTCATTTCCAGCTAAATTAAAATTAAAAGAATATAAACAGACGAGTTATCTTCTCACTTTCATTACGGTTCCTCAGAAGTTATGTTAATTGATTTGGTTTCAATATCAGATAGCAGAGCAAACCAAAAAGCTTCAGGAACAAGAAAAGCACCTTCTTGACCAAAGTCAGATTATTGCTGAACAGGGAGCTCGAATTATGGAGCAGGAAGGTAAAATAGGTGAAGTAAATAAGAAACTGTTAGAATATGACAGACATTTTGCAGACATAATGGCAGAATTGACTAGAGTTCAGGATCCTCTTCGTGCTTCAGGCTCCAGTCAACAAGATGCTCATGTCTACAATCAAACTACCGATTCATCATCTGATCAGAATAAGATGCTGCTAGATAAGTCATATGATTCAGTATCTGTAAATCAAAACCCTGATCATGAAAGCTCTGATGCCTCAAATACCTTTATCTGTAATTCTAGTTGCACTAGAAGAGAAAGTACTGTTAAAAAGAGGGGTTTTCCTTATCCTGAAGATGAACCTAATCAGAGAAACAAAACATTAAAATTACGTTTCAGGAAAAAAAAATGAAGTTTCACACCAAAAGTTATTTTGTTGGTCAAGTAAAATATAAGCTTGGAGCAGTAGATCTATAGAAACTTGATTATCAAACTTTATATATACTATAATGTAGATGTATATGTTACAAATTGAGAATGTTTTTAAGTGGAACATTAAAAAATTATTCCTATTCCTTTAGTTGAAGTAAAAATATGTTTTTCATAGATTACTGGCATAAAATTTGAAATAATAGTTTATAGTCTGGAAAAAAAAAATGAATAAAATATTTCATGAGAAATATTTTTGGAATCTTAGTGGGTTGTTAAATTGCACTCATTACCACTGTCAGTGGAACTGTGAAGTTACTGTACATATTTGTCTTGTATACATATTTATATGTTGTGTACCAGTGTTTGTTTTAAGAGTATATATATTAATCTGTTACAGAGAAACTAAGTGTAGAAATTATTTTGGTGTTTGTGGACAGTTGGATTGATTTCAATTAGTTCTGTTGGATCTGACCAATAGAAATCTACAAGTTTGTACAAATTTTTTTATAATTAATTTATAGTAATCAAATGCTACAAGGTTAATGCAGTGATAAAATATTGTGAAGTAGTGATAGTTATAAAATAAAGTGCAACTTTCATTTACCTTAGTTTCAAGTTTTACAGTCTTAAAAGTTGTTTTTTCTCCAAAACTTGTGAACTTATGATTAAGCAGCATTTGTGTTGTAAAAGAGTTTTCTTCTCAGTGTCTATAACATAACATTCAATTGTTCTTTTTTATACAACTGGATAGTGTCAAGAAATTATGCGTAAACAATACATAGTCATTAAACAGTCTTTAACAAGACATGCTTTTAACTAATAAAAGTGCATATCACACCACAAATATAATAATTGTGTGAAGGAACTGTTTTAATAGTGCCTCTAAATGCAGGTCATTAGTTGCAAAGCAAGCCAAAAGCATAATTTCTGTACTGAATAGAGATGTAAAATTCAATTCATTACATATGTGGAATGTGCTATAGTTAAGGAATAGAAAGTTACATTTAAAGTTTGTAACAACATCCATTAAAATAATAAATACTTCATTTCTGACTGTCTGGGACAGAAGTTGATGTAGCTGATTAGAAAATACATCAAAAAATTTGTTTTAAAAGTTGACAAAAATGTAAAATATTGACCATAAAATAATAAAGCACCACTATTATAGACACTTTATCTTGATAAAAATAACTTTTATTCCATTTTTGTTCTTCCTTTGAACATGAAACTGTTTTTGTCTTTGAGATCTAATCATAAGTAACTATGGATTCAAATGTTAGCATTTACATTTATCAATCCAGGTTTCACATTAACTTTGGGCTTATTTCAATCACTATAAGTATACAAATTAAGAGAAACCATGGCTATTGCAATTAACACATGACTTGTCATATCACAAGCTCTTACACTTTAGCTTTTGACATGGAAAAGTGAACATCAAAAGATATCAAGAAAGCTTATTTCTAACAAGATATAAGGTTAATAAGTTTGGGGTGATTTTTTTTTTGTAATTAAATTCTTACAGCTGATGTAACAAAACTGTTTAACATTGTTAATAATGTTTTATAATAAAATTGAATAAGTTAAGATTCTTTTAATTAATAGTTCAAACCATGAGTGTGTGTTGGTAATTTTAAGTGTTTTGAGGCAATTTGTGGAAGTTGTATGTTTTTGTTAATAATTAACTAAAGATATGTACATGGCACAAACACAAATGATGGAAAGTAAGAAAACATACCTCATGGTTTAATCAGGCCTGAACTTGAGATTTGTAATGGAGTAGCAACAGGTTGAAAGTTTAATAGCTGTCAATTACCATAAGATTTAGACTTTTTTAAATGCTTTTATATAACATTTGAAGTCAAAGTGTTACAAACATTAAGCAATTTATTACATGCATTTTTTATGTAACTGTTATGAATTTCTGTTAAACTTTTTCAAAAATACTTATTAATTACCTTAATAAAAAAATGAAGTAGATAACATTTATTCTCCTGTCTTATCAGTTTGTTTCAATTTTTTTTAAATGTCAAGTTCCTCACATTCTTTGATCTGTGTTTGGAAAAACTTGTTCAAACAAGGTTAATAAATCATAAAAAAAATATAGAAAATCAATGAATTGTTTTATAGTCAATCATACTGGGATCATTTATTTAAATACATTGTAAACAAAAACTAATGCACCTTCAATAGCTTTTCAATAATTTAGTGTAACAGTCATGTAATGTAGTATCTCGCAGATAACCAGCAGAGCATAGAAGTTAGGCCCAATAACAACAAGAAGTATACTTCTCAACAAGTTGCAGTAGATAGGTCACAAAGAACAAAACAAGACACATTTCCATCCACACACACAAAACAGTATTCATTCAAAAGCTTCACAATAAACAATACACTAATTATAATACACAATGATACAATAATATTGGACAGTTGATTGTATACTGTAAACTCACATTGTAAAGCCAAAGCTATACTCTAAATCCATTCACCCTTAACTTGAACAAATGCTACAAAAATACTAAATACATTCACATTTAATGTAAACAAACACTAAAACACTTTAAATCTTGCTTGCTTAAGGCAAGCACAAGAACAAAAACTTTAATCAAGAGGTACACTCATGAGTGGCTTAAACTTCTAAACTTAATGCAAAAGTATGAAGAAAATATTCCAGAAACTAAAAGTTTCTGCCATATATTTATTGAAACACAATCATAAAAATAGCAAAAAAATAAGGGCTACTGCAAACTATGTAACCTGCCTTGAAACTTCTATTAAACTTAACAAATTGTTTGTAATTTGGTAAAATATGGCAATAAACTCAACATTCTGATACAAGAAAACAGTGATTGGTTCTTGTTAGATGAGCTGGCCAACCAGCAGTGAAAATCAAATATTTTACTCACAGTTGTCATCTGACTTGCCGACCATAATAACTCTTAACCTAGTTTGCCACTTAAAGAAAGTGAATGTTCATTAGTAACTCACTTAAACATCTCTCAGCTTCAAATCTGGTAAAAAAAAAATTAAAATATTTACTCTTTAATTAAAGGAGTGGAAAACAAAATATATTTGCATACTACAGTAATAAGGGAGGTTTGTAGTTGACTCTCTTGAATTAGGAATCTTTTATAACATAAAACACTTAAGAAACTATCACTAAGTTACCCATACAGTGATGAAACTGAAGACATGGGTCAGTTTGATAGTTATTATTCAATTACTTTTTCAAATGTTTTTTTAATTACTAAATTTTATCTAATTATGTTTACAAGCAAATGCAGTTGGTGGAGAGTTTGACAGTAACATAGTAACTTCAGAAAACTGCTTACTCCTACAAAGTTATTTTCCACCATGTTAAAAGTGCAGTGGTGCTGACCTACATAAGACTTCTCTGTCCAGTAATTTGTATCCCGCTTTTGATTCAGCCAAATTGCACAAAACCTCTAGATCCTTGTTTAGGAATATTCTCAGCTTCCTTCATGACTATTTCCATGGATTCATTCTACTTTTCCTTCAAGTCTTGACCTCTGTACTTTGAATCCAAAATATAGGCTGTTAATTGGACAAGATAAAAGCAGAAGCCTTGGTAGGTGGAGAACGTCGCATCAATCACTCTTTAGCTGCTGCAAGGTCAATTGTTACAAAGTGTCTTCATAGTGCTGCCTTATCATCTTGATAATAGGGACCACCTCAGACAGCATTAGTTTGCTGCTTTCAGACTTTGAGTTAGAAGTGAAATTGGTTGCAACAGGCCTGTCTTTTCAGGTACTTGCATTTGATCATATTGACCCGAATCTCTGAATGTCCAGGTAGATATTACAAATTTGTTGTGGGCAAAGATTAAATATAAATAAGCTGACAACATTTAATTTTCAACATAAATAATAATTTATGTATGTGAAGTTAAAAGAAAAAAAAAATAATCTAAAAAACAATTTCTTTCAGGGGAACATGGTCCACCATATAAGGAGACAAAGAAGACCCAAAAACTTTGTAAATGTACAATTTTCATCTTGAACAGTTGCATCATTTACAAAATTGACTTACACAAAAGTAAATTTCTGGAAGTCAATTTTGTAAATAGTGCTACTGTTCAAGATGGAAATTGTACACATACATTTACAGAGTACATAAATTAATATTTGCATCTTATTCATCTTCTGAAGATGGTGTTGTTCCACCAAAACATGTAATAATTTATATTTGTTACAAGTTATAAAAAATTTTCTATCAGCCTAAGAATGATGACCAAAGAAATAAATCTATATCTAGCAAAGACTTTATGTGACCAAAGCAGGCATAATCAACAAATAATTCATTTAAAATTTAGCACTATATCTTGTAATTATCACAAAGAAAAGATTTACATAATATAAGTTCAAATGCCATTGCATGATAAGTTGTACCCTTTAGTTTTTTCTGTTTATTTTACACATCAGTAAATTACAAAGGCAATCGCAATTAAATCTTTAGCCTTGCAGTTGTTTTTTTTTCACACTTAATGGTATAGTTTTTCTTACTATTATTTATTATTACTTAATGAAGTTAGGATTTTCAGTAATAAAATGCTTGTACATGAGAAAAACTATAGATTTAATAAAGAGGACTACTTTTTATTTTAAATAGTCTTAGAAATACTTTTGTTTAGGATATAATGCTAGATTTGCATATGCAACTAAATTCATGGCTTAATCATAATGTTTTTCTATATATTACAAACAAATAGTTTACTCTTGATAAAATATTTGGGCTGTGAATCAAAGTTGTAATCTTAATAAAATCTCCAAATGACTTAACCTCAGTGATTTCATCATGGTAGACCTACAACACCTTATTCCATACCACTAACAGTTATTTTCCAATACCTTTCCATTTCTGAATTATTTGTCTGTAAATAGACTTCTGAATCACCTAGTATGTATGTACGTATGTATAAGTGTGTCTATTAGTATATATATACCCACATACATATGTAAGCATAACTGTTGATTATTTTGGGTACTTTTTTCGATGTGTGTTTGACAATTCAGCATTTATTACTAATAACTTGGAACATAAATGCAAGTACAATGAAATAAATGAAACTACAACTTTTGTTCTGCAATATTTGTGAAATATTTTATTTCCTAAATTAAGAAGTAGTTTATGAAGTAGCATAAATAAACTTTTTTAAATTAATAAATCAATCAAAATGTTTCATAGAAAGTGATAAGAAAAATTAAAATCTTATAAATGAGTGGTGGACAACCTTAGCTATTCCATGAGCCACAAGTGTGGTCTTCAAATATCCTAAAGGGCTGCAAAAATCCCTTTACCAGTCTTAAGCCAAAAATAATCACTTTTAATAAAAAGTAGCTATATATATGAAATATATTAAAGTTGCAAAAACCCTCTCTACTAAAGGTATTAAAAATAAAACTTGTTTTCATTTCTTAGCATTAATGATGGCTGCTGATATTACTTATAGATAACATTAACTCTTGCAAACCGATTGTGTTGTTTTCGTTTTGTTTTTTACAAGGAGCCTACAGGTTGGCTCCTAAGGGGCTGAATGTTGCCCACCACTACTATAAACACAACATTGAGCAAGTGCAAATTTAATACAACCATTTGTAAAAATTTGCAGCTCTAAACAATGAAAGTGACCAGTTGATCTCAGTCATCTTAAATATTATGAATTTTACACTATGTGCATTACCAACAAGCATTAAAAATACCTAATTCTTTTTTCATTTGAAACTATTGAAATTTAAACAAATCAGCATAAAATAACAGCACAAATGCTATTTAAAATAATGTTGCTTTAACAATTTATAAGTATTTTAGGATAACTGTTTTATTCATTTGTACATTCTATACACATAAATATTAAAGTTGAAACCAGCAGAAAATATCCATTGTTTGAGCTTCAAAGTAACTTATTCATCACATAAATTTTATTATTTAATGTTTGGTTGAGTTTATTTCCAACTTTGTACAAATGAAATAAATAAAAATTATGATGAGTTGTTGATTATGACTGAAAATGATCATAAAATGTCAAGAAAGTATTGTTTTTTTTACTGATTATTCTCTTGTATTTATGGAATGTGAGAAATATTCAAACTGTTCATAAGTTAAATAATTTACAATATTTTTGGAATAATCTTAAAAGCTGCACTTTGAATGGGATGTTTGTGAATAATAATGTCACATGAAAATTAATTAATGTATTATATTTTTGTATACTGTATATACAATCGCATGCATGAAAATCAAAACAATCCCCATTTGTTTTAACACAAGTCTACATAACTTTAAAATTTGCTTAGAGATTATATGTATATATATAGCACATTCTTTCTTAAAAAGTAATTTGTTCCTTCTTACTTCTATACACTATAAAAAAAAATGCCACAGACTAAATTCATCATGTGCATCTTATTTGAACATTTGAAAAAATTGTTTTAAATGCATTTCTACCTATTTTATACCACTTAAGTATTACAAGGAGACAAGTTTAACAGAACACAAAGTGTCTGGACTTGACAAATCTGTTTTTGAGCTTCTTTGCTGTTCTGAGCAGGATGAAATGACTGGAGTGAGGCCAGAAGAAATTGGGGTTAAGCCAGTACCACACTCTAACCAAGAATCAAGATTCAGAATACCACCAGATGGGGTTGTTATTGAGATACCAGCAGGATTAGTAAAGGGTGAAGAAATTGGAAGAGATGTAGGACGCTGAATATTTTTGGTCTTCAAGCCTTCTAGATTATTGTATTCAAATACATGGTTAGAGTGACTGTCCAAGAGCTTATGCTCATGTGGTTTGACATTTTTGTTACTATTTTTCTTAAGATTACATGCTGCTTTATGGGCATCTAACAGGAACTGCAGCTCTTCTTTTTGTAATGTCAGTAGCTGGATCTCATTCTGAAGTGTTTGACGTTTCTCTTCCAGACCTTCAGTTTCCTACAAGTACAAGAATATTTTGTAGAAACGCAAGTTTTTTTTTCTCAATTTTAATAAAAGTATATGTAACCATTATTTTTCAGAACTACAAAAGAAAAACTTAAAAATAATTGAAGAAAAACTATTTTCAATAAAACATAATTACTTTACTAAGAAATTCCAAGTTACATTTTATGTTTCTTTTGCAGTCAGTCTGATCAAATGTGTGGATTATATTGTTCACATTTGAGTTGCCTTAAGAATGTAACTACACACAAGTTGGTTTGTGAGGCTTCATTAGAAAAAAAAATAGTAGTAAAAGTTTTTGAAAATAAACAAAACTAAATCCACTGAAGTAAAATTAGCTCCAATTAAATATGATATTTTGCTTTCTAAATGTCATACATATTAAAGAGCAAATACTGTTGTACATGATGATCTCAAATCTTAGATATATACACTCTTATACCTTCAGCAAACTGTTAGTGTGATCCAGTCTTCTTTTACGACATCTTGCTGCTGCAAGTTTATTTCGTTCTCTACGTAGCTTTCTTCGTTCCTCTTCTTCAGGGGGAAGCTTTTGATAAGACAAATAACATAAATATAACATACCTGCTACATAGAAATTATTTTAAAGTTAATTGATTAGGGAAAGGTCAAATGAGGCAATAAAGTTAGCTAATAAATGCTTGTTTGCCACTCTTTAGTCCAATTTAAAGTAGGCAGTAGATATAGATATATGTTTTCTATTTAAATTTTGTAAACCACGACTGGCTAGGGTTTTAAATTATAGTGTATTGTAACAAAAATGCATTTCTTACACCCACAATAAATAGGAGTAGGCAAATATTTTAACCTTTTAATTCATATATCAAACTGATACTTAGCTTAAGTACGAATGACTGATTATTTTCTAAGACAAAGTTTCCTAATACAGTTTTCTTCAGTAGAATTTTTTTGAAATTTTGTTATTGCATTCATTACATGCAAATTTTGTTTCAAAAATAATTATAAAAAACAAGAACTCTGACTACAGACTTTTAAAAGTAATCACAATGTGCATGCCAAAGTTCATTACATCATGACAGCTGATAGAATTATGCTGCCCCCCCCCTTTCCCCACAAAAACCACTTCACTAAACCAATATAAACAAATTTATAATTGGAGGTTGTAAGCTCTTTGCTAAACTGATTTTTTTTAAATAAATGGTGCTATTAATTTTTTTACGAATTATAAGATACACAATAAATTATATATTCACATTAGCATATGTACATCAAGACTTAAATTATCATGCATAGCAGTTTTTCAAGAGATATACAGTAAAAACTTACTTGATCATTATTTGGTTTTCGACCACCAGTACTTTTGGATCCATTGTATTTTACAATTGTTGGGCATAAGATGTCTGGAGATGATGTCAGACGTGATACTACAAACTCTGGCTCTTGCTTAATAGTCACTGGTTGATAAGAAGTATCCAAAATACTGACTACAGGAGGTATGAAACCAGCCTGATTTTGATGCTCTAGTAGTGCTGGAGATACAGGCTGTAGCTCCAGAAATGATTCTTCTAAATTCTTCAAGGTTGTTGGTGTGGGAGTGTGTGTTGTTTGAGTTGGAATTCCAGATGTTAATCCACACAAGTTCAACTATATACAGAAAAAGTTTAAAATTAAACTAAAACATCTTTCAATAATTTTGTGAGTGTGAATATACAACTTGATACAAAACAACAACAATTATTCAAAAAAAAGTGTAATGAGCAGTATCAGCCATTACCTTAGTATTTAATTGATCCTACACCAAGAAATGTTATTTTGAAATGATAATACATAATTACATGTGGTTAGGGCACAGAAAAACGTGCAATGATTTTCAAATGAAAAGTATACTTTTAACTACAGACTTATTAACAACCTAATATATATTATTCTTATATGAATCAGGTAAAAAATAAATCATGCTCCTTATAACTCTTAAAAACAAAAATTTGGACATAGCTAACATAAAATAATGTAATGAAATATCAACTTCACAACACATCCTTTCCATTAAATGAGTTGTTGAAAGAATAAAATTTTCAAAACATAAACCATAAAACATATTTTAAATTAAACTTTAATCTTATTTTTTTCTTATTTCCTGCAGTTGTATGCCAAATACATACATAATTACATATGTAATTCATACTGTCCTGGACACACAGAAGTTTCTTATTCAATTTTAACAGGTATATGATACATTGAATCTGTTTAAAAACATGTTCTCAATTCTAACCAGAATTTAAAACACTGTGAAACAAACTTTTTATACAGTTAGCCCCTTCCCATCACTTTGACACTGAACGCTAACTAACAAATAAAGGAAATGCAACTAAATAACAAGAGACCTGTAGTATTTACCCTAATTCACAAAATCACTCTGTTCTAATTTGGAATACAACAAAAAGGGGAAATGTTTGCTAAGAAAACACACGTAAATATATATGTATGTTGAGTCAATATTGTTTTGTAAGTACTGATGTTCATATTATTATACGTTGACTTTGTGATCAATACTAACTTTTTCAACGCATACATTTGTAACAGCTTTGTAGCCATAAAACTTTCATTAGAAGTGTACACCATTACTACTATCGTATATTTCAATAACATTATTTTAAAAGTTCTATATCAATACATTATACATATGCTGTATTTTTAGTCATTTCATTCTTCAGTTTCACACCAATTTAAAATTGAATTTCTCATTGACACTATCGTACTTCTTCAAATAAGATCGCTCATGCAATACATGTTTTCTTGTTTGTTTGTTTTTATAAAGTTTATTAAAGGAGACCTTTCCTTCGTAATAAAATTATGTTTGTTGTTAAACGTAAAGCTATACAATGGGCTATTTTTCCCATTGCCCACCACGGGTATTCAGACTCACCGTTTAGTAGTGTGGTAGGCACTTAAATAAAATAACTGACCGTGTCAATAAAACTAAAAGTTGTCAAGCTGCACTCACAATGAATGAGTAGCAGTTACGTCACTGAAGGGACTATATTACTTTATATTAGAAATTTTGAAACCAAAAGCTGTTCATCTCACAGTAACAATAAAAATAACTGATCTTACTAATCACTTACCGTGGTTACCATATTTTGTTCTTCAACTTCAGAAATATCAGCTGGACCTGTAAGCTGTGAATCAGACAGCGAGCTCTCAGCTTCAAGTTCAGAATCGTTGGAACAATGAATAAACATATCTGTAGTGCTGAACGTTAAAAATGATCTTGTCTGGTAAAACTGAAAATACTGTTATTAAGTATACGTGAAAGTTGTTGAGAACTCAAGAAATACTTTCGTATAAACGTATTTTAAGTCGACGAAAGTTATAAAACTTAATACTCCCAAATCAACCTTCCTTCCAGTATATGAGTCATACAAATCATAAAGGTAGAGAAATACTGTATCTTTTTATACGCCCGATGACATCATTCCTTTCTAAATCTACCCTGAAGTGATTGACGTCATTATTAGAGTTCTGTACCTGGAAAATGGTGACGTTAAAATGACGTTTAATTCCGGCCATAAAAATTTCATAGCAAAAGTTCAAGTAGCTATTTTAAAAATATTACGTTACATTTATAAATTCCTAATTTAAAATATATATATATATCAAAAATCAAAACTTTTGAAAAAATTAAAATAATTGTTCCGAGAAGGCTGTCATTCGGGAAACTTCGGTAATCGAATATGCCCATAAGTGGGTATGACTCACCGCGTTGATGTTTGTACGTATACATTTTTCTTAGAATCGTGAACTCTCCGCAGTTACTGTATAAAGCTACATTGCGTATCTAAATAAATTTAATTATACCAATTTAAGGGTTATTTACTAAAAGTTTGAACATTTTCACTCACATATACTTTTAAATCAGCATGTCCTATAATTCTGCTACAAATTTTCTGGGTTTTATTTATATAACTATAAGTATAAATTCGATGACGAGGAACCCACTTTGAGACTAATAATGGGTGGAAACGGCTTGAATGGGTAATGAAGAAAAACTTTAATATAAGCTTAACATAACAGCAAATGTACAACGTTTCGACAAGGTTTTGTCATCATCAAAACCTTGTTGAAACGTTGTACATTTGCTGTTATGTTAAACTTATATTAAAGTTTTCCTTCATTACTCATTCAAGCCGTCTCCAACCATTATGAATATAAGTGTGTTCCAACTATAGCAATCAAGTTACTCAGCACTTTTGAAACCCAGGTTTGCAATCGCTGAATATCGAATGTAGCTAATACTTTAAGAAATTAAAGAATATATATGTTAATCAAAATATTATATTTTTAGATAGTGTGGGATATGTAATATACTGCCCAATCATAACTGCAAGTTAGCAGAATTATTGGCCTAATCCACTAAATGATAAAACAAGAATTCCTATTTGTAGACAACAATGAGCTATGTGTGCTATGAAAATATTGTAAAAACACTTTGTTTTAAGAAAATGTTAAAAATGTTTGAGCCTTAATTAATTAAATAACAAGAAATTCATTGACCTTAACTAAGATGATAATCTCTAGGTTCATGATTTTTATATAAAGGGCTACGTCTTATATTGTTCGAGGACATTGCTTTGTTTTCAAAAAAAACAAAATCTATGCTCACTTTCATGTTCAGTTACGAAATATGAAGAGGGAAATTTATTTGAGACTTCTAGTTGTCCCAAGCATGTGTTATTTTTTATAAGCACCTCTCCTACTGTGGAATATGAATATGCTATGTGTTTTTATCTTCATCTAGTGTTATAATATTTATTCTGAATTTATTCTTTGTTCTGAAAATGTGCACGTTTCACATAACACGTAGTCGAGAAAACAGTTAAATTTATTTTGTGTCAGGTTACCTTTATTCCTTTGTTGTTCTGAAAATAGGTAATATCTCTTACCGTCGGTGGAGAAAATTGCTTAATAAGACGTTTTATAAGAATGTAAACAGCAGTGTCCTGTCCTGTAATTGTTGTCCAGGTGATGTTTAGAGGTTATATGGCTCCACTTTTGTTGTAATGAGAATGACCAATCACGTGGTAAGTATATATCGCTCTGGTTAAATACGAGGTATCTTGGAAACTAAGGGTTGGTTTGTTTTGAATTTCGCACAAAGCTACACGAGAGCTATCTGCGCTAGCCGTCCATAATTTAGCAGTGAAAGACTAGATGGAAGGCAGCTGGTCATCACCACTCACAGCCAACTCTTGGGCTACTCTTTTACCAACGAATAGTGGGATTGACCGTCACATTATAACGCCCACCTGGCCATGGGAAACTAAGAAACCTGGCATTTGATGAGTTTGAAACTTTTCCTCCAAGAAGTCAATCTTTTCTAGAACTTGGTATTGATAAACTAAATATAAAGAAAAGCTACCTAGAGTGATTGTTCGAAGTAAATGATCTGAAAATACACACATTTTGTTTTTGTTCAGTATATTAATCAATATTGTTCATTATACGTATTACTTTTGCTCAGTCTCGATACTTCATTTTACACTGACTCAGTTAAGTAGAAGCTTTAGTTACACTTTGTAATCAATATGTTGAACGAATCTCCTGTTATTCAACATACCTATCCAATAGCTCAAATATATTGTTACGTCTCCGTTTGTTAATTAACTTTCGTAACTTCGTTCCGTACGAAACTTTAAGTCG